TTTCGTTGTATAGAAGTTGTTTGACTTTGTTTTCGCAACTTGGTCATATTGGTAGGAAGACTTAGAGGAAAGCACCAAGTCCGGAATCTATTGTATGCATGATATTTTCCAAAGTCGGACCGTAGACGTAGTACATTCCCAGACGTTCCGCCGGCATCGTCAGTGAGTCTTGCCATTCTTAGCATCAAACTACAACTCGTCAAAGAGACAAGTGAAGCCGATCCTTTGACCAAATGTGTGCTAACCAGTTGTAGTATCTCTCCTTCTGTCCTGGGCTATTCACCTTTCCTATATCCTCGTATCAAGCCTTCTCTATCACAATTTTTCCTTGCTTATTTAGATCTAGTGTGGTGTGCCCTTTTTAGCGGCTTACATGAGAACCCTCCACACTCCACGCTAGCGTTCTCACCCCCTTCACCCTTGTGTTAGCTCCAGTCTCCGCTGCGTCTATCCTGTCTCTACCCCAATACCAAGTCTATGACAATAAAAAGGATAGACGCGGCGGAGACTGGGGCTAGTTGGCTGACCGTAGCAAAGATTTGACCATGACAGTTACTCAGACGCTTTAGCTTCGAATTAGTCACCAAGACGCAGGGGATGGGTAATAACGCCTCGACTAGCACAGATAGGGTGGCAGGGGTCGAGTGAAATACTTAAACCAGGGCGATAGGGGCAAGAGGGAAACTCTGATAGGACCCAGGGAAGGACTACGTAACAATATGATAAAAATTGTGTTAGTGTAGGCGTTATACGAGGATATAGGAGAGGTGAAAAGCCCAGGGCAGAAGGAGAGATACAACAACTATTTAATACACATTTAGTCAAAGGATCGGCTTCACTTATCTTTGATGGGTTGCTCTATGGTGCTAAGAATGGCAAGATTCATTGGCGATACCGACTAGGATGCCGGCAAAGCGTCTGGGAATGTACCACGTCCACTGTCCGACTTTGGAAACGATCATGCATACAATGGACTCCGGACTAGGTGCGTTCCGCTAAGTCTTTCTATCAATGTAACCAAGTTGCGAAAACGAGGTCAAACAACTTCTTTTTAATTCCTATAGGTTTTACTGCTATTTAAGATGGCATTTCAATGTATTTATTGGAAGTTTAGATTAAATATAGGCTTATAAAGGATTTCATCAACCCTTATTAGTGATTGTAAAGCTAACTCTTACACATTACTGTGGTGTTTTTTGGTCCACTTAAGCCTCATTGGCGATTGACAGGACTGTCGTCTCGTCACCTTATCTCTGAGTCGCCATTGCTGCGTTCTGCTACATCACCTGTCTCGGCCACGATCGGGCCATCCGATTTCCCACCTCCATTGGGTATCCGTTCTCCCTCTCTGCCGATTGCGCCTACTTCCGTGATCACTGATCACAATTTCTTTTCAGATAACATTACCTCAAATACGGTCGTCACGACTTCTGCTGCGGTTATTACCACTACGACTTCTTTAGTTACAAATGTCCTACTTTCGTTGCAGCCGACAATAACCCATCTACCTTCCAGAGCCTCAATCCCCACAGCATTTGCTTCATCCCTCGATCCATCCATTGCCGCTTCTTCTAATGCTTCTAATTCCGGTAAGGTTATGGAGGCTTCCCGCGATTGTATTCATGTCGATGCTTCAGTACCAAGTGGACGGCAAACGCAACCGGAGTCTAACTCGCAAAAGCCAATTTCTGAAGGAGGCCAGGGACTATGCATGAAAGGAGAATTACCTGAAATGAATGGAGCTTTTGTCCAGCATCGCAGCGACGATACCTTGCTGGTATCTCCACCAAACTCTCTTGCGGTTAGTCAGTACCTTTCATTCTAGTATTCTAATTAATTGACTCTTAGAGAAGCACTATTCTTTGTTATTTTTCATTTATAAGTTTCGAGACCGCCAGTAAATCCTTATTATGATATTTATTGATAATTGTTAAGCTTCTATTTAGAGTGAAAGTGTTGGATGAAGAGATTCTAAGGTTGGTTCTCCAGAAGACGACGGCGGATTCCTCTTGACCAGCTGTCGATTGGCTTTACTGGAAGATTCATGCTGACGCTATAAGACGACGGCGGATTCCTCTTGACCAGCTGTCGATTGGCTTTACTAGAAGATTCATGCTGACGCTGTTTTCGAGGTAATCTCCTTCGGTTCCGTTGAAGAGGTGCTAAGCTTTCGTCCGTCATATGACGAACAGCATCGGAGCGAGGTAACACCGTCACAACAAAATTCAAGCTAACTAGTCAAGAAAATTCATCGGCAAATCCCTAATAAGTGGTATATATGT